ACCCCCCCCCCCCGCTGAGCCAGACCGGGCGATGCTCTTGCAAACCCATAAGTACTCACAATAATTCCCTGCCACCATGGTGAAGTGTTTTGAGAATTGAGAGCATAGTGACAAACCAGAGATTTTTCAGAATCAGTTCATTTTTAATTTCCTCATTTACTCAAGATTTTAACCAATTTCTCAAGTATGATAATGCTGGTATCAAAGATACTTTACTGGTCTACTTATAGGACTCAAAAATAAACTAGAGACAGAGTCTAAAAAACTCTCTGCTTTGCCACTATGATTGAGAGTCATGTGAAGGCAACAGAACTTACGTAATGCATACGTTTTTTTTATAGTTTTTCATTTCTCGATGCGTCCTTAATGTGTCGGAATATACCGCGTTTACCCTATTTGGGGTAACACGTGCATGCAACCTTTAAATAAGTTCGTGGCTTGTAAATAGTTCGTCATTACTCAGCGTAAATGGCTTTTCATTAAAAATTACCAGGCGACGCATCTTTAAAATGGCCGGCAACGCTTTGGGCTTAAAAATCCATATATTGGCGAGTGGCGACGCTGCATCCACCCTCTGCATAGTGGAATTGAAACATGCAAGGGCATCTTCAAGACTTCAACAGTTGTCTCATTTACAGATGGCATCTATTAATTTTTTAAGCTTGGGCTAGAAAGTTTAGCTCTAGCAGACTAGCACCAGAATTACATAAAACTTCAAGACTTCTTGGCAAGTTGGCAAAAAGCACATGTCAAGAGCCTAAGAGTAAGAGGCAGGTATAAGGTAGGTATTTAAAGACAATGGTGTTACCGTGTTGGCAAGATCTTCTGAAGCCAGTGAAGGCATACATTTTGAGGTTGATGTGTCAGCACTCAACAGACATATTATAGTTATTCGCTCACTCTCCGCACTCGGTCATTGACTCAGACACTCTGACTCGACTACTAATTATTTTCCGTTTTGGTTAACCAGCTGAGTAACCTGAGTTGACCTGTCGCTGTCGGGTGAGTGTCGGCTATCCAGCTGATTTTGTCTATTGCGTAATAATTTCAATGGTTAAGTAAAAAAAACGTTTATTAAGACAATGCAATGAAAGTTATATTTTGAAATGTTGATATTTATTTATCAAACCGTAGTGAAGAAGTTATGTTTAAACTTACCTACAGTCATGGTAGAAACACGCCCTCTGGCAGTCACACCAAAACAAACTACAGCTGATCCTACCGACGCTCGGCCGCGATGATAGTAATGTGAATACTGTACAGGAACAAATTGTTGAAATTAACTTGTATGTGTGATTTATTTTGTCTGTATTATCGGAAACACTTCCACAATATAAAAACAGCATGTGTACTGTTGAAAATTTTTCCTATTACATTAGAACACAAGGGCGCTAATAACTAAAAATCAACGAAGCTTTGAACTGATTTAATAGGGCTGAAAGCACATAGAATAGAATAGAAGTGTCGGCGTTGAAGAAATAGGCCCATGGCCTGTTGCCGATTCTTGAACTTTTCGTGACTTGATTCACAAGGGATCCGGCCTTTGGAACCCGATCTTTCCATAGCTGACGGTTGATTGAGATAGACCAAGCTTTCTCGCTGTTTTCAGCACGCTCCAGACCTGAGCAGAATCCTTTACAGTCACCAGCAAAGGTCTGAAGGTGTTGCCAGCAGTATCCTTCGAGCGTAGCCTCTTGCAAGATATAACATCAATCGATGTGTTGAGTACCTTGCTGCAACAGTCTACAACAAAGGCCGAGTCATCCATCACTCGGTCCTTCGCATCATATGCGTTACTTTCAGGAATCCCAAACCAGACCAGGTTGGCCTTCCTACGTTCTCTATCAAGCAATTCACGTGAGCTGTCATTAGCGACTTCAGATAAATCAGCTGTCTTGTTCTTTACTTCCATTTTTTCCGTATTTTTCAATTGAGACTTCACTTCAGTCAGCTCATTGCATAGCGAGCTCAGTTTGTCACTCTGCGAGCGCACCATCTCACTCAAGGAGTTTACTACATCATTCAACAATTTCGACTCATTGTCGTGCTCTTCTACCAACTCCTCTCTTTTTTGAGCACCATGAGTTGGTTTTTCGCAATCACGGCAAAACCAATGAAGCAATTTAGATTTCTGGAGAAATGAGTACTCCTTACAGCTAAACTTTGAACAGCTGATACAAATGAGATCTTCACATCGTTCACAGGTGACTGTCTGGACTTCGCGCAGAGATCTCTTTGCAGTACTTGCAAACTTCCATCTCTAGCTGGGCTGATTTGGTTTTATTTTTTATTCTAGAGGTCGTAGATGGCTTTTCTCTAGAGGCCGTTGAGGGCTTTTCGACTATCTTTTTTGTTTTCTGTCCAGCCATTATTAAATGCGCGAACTAGATCTCTTGAACGGAGAAAAATACAGAAAAGGACGGAGAAACATACGACTGAGTTGAGTTGAGTATAGTAAAGTTCCATCGAAAATTAAAGCTGGAAAAACAGCTGAGCTGCCGCTGGCGAGGGAAAGACAGGTGTGGTGGGGGAATCAAGGTATCAACGCGTAAGGCGGGTGGAGAGGGGGAGGTGTAGGGGCCAAGAGGGTGAGGAGGGTATAGGAAGGCGAGGCCAGAGCGTAGTCAAGGTACCGATTGTTCTCCGGTTACAGGCAGTCGCCGAGGGTTTCAAAAACTTGCCCTCGTTTCATGTACTAGAATTTGTCGGGAATAAAACACTTGTACTAGCCGTTTTTCTCACTATTCGCACAATTTTGATTGAACTGCACTAAAATAATATTGAACCTCTCACTGAAATCGTTTCGGTACAAAATTCGCGAGATAAGTCAAACCGGCATAGTAAAAAGTGAGAAAGTTGGGACCCGCAAACACTACGTGCGTCCTCGATCACTGCCAGAACTCAACTCGTTTGATGGATTTCATTCTCAGTCATACCTAGGAATCCTTATGTTCCCGATGGCAACACAAATGGAAGAGAGCACGAGAGGGAACGGAACACCATATCCTGGTCACAATGGGGGGTGACCAGAATTTCATGTATATTGTAGACGCTCTCCGTAACTTTTATTGTTTGAACTTGTAGTCGCACGTTTCCTTCGTACGGTAGCAAAAATGGCAGTTAATTTTACACAAGCAGTTCAAATGCGCCCTAATAGTTAGCAATTTAGCCGAGTAAGATTCATCCTGCATAATTACATCCTAGATAGTCAGCCATAAAAATCCATCTGATAGAACAGGTTCAATCGCTGAATTTTGTACTCTAGAAAGTTTTCGAATCCATATCGTCCCAAGACCTTGTAAATAAAAAAAAATCACATTCGAGACATGCCCGATTTAGCGGTTTTTCATTAGTTCATTGGAAGTTGGCTTCAAACAACTGAAGAATATGAAGCGGGTTCCAATCGAGAGAAAATCTCCCTACCTGTTAACTTTGGTTGGTGCCTAGGGAACGCAATGTGCTAGACGCACTCCTCGAGAAATTTTTCGTTAATCCAAACATTTTACTACACGCATATTATAAATACCTCCGCCGTGGGAGAATCTACCTTAAGCCTGCAACGAATTGAGAATAGAGAAGTGAGTGACTCCAAAAAGCACGGTAATCAATATTGAAACCCATCATTCCTACAGAAGATTTTCACATTTATATCGACCAAACCCTGACGGGAAAATCGAACGTGACTTCACGCCCGAATCCACCTATACATATCATGCAAGCAACCCTTTCGACACTTCATTGCATCGTAAAGGCCATTCCATGGTACACATGAACATAAACCCTGTACAAGTGGCATACAACGTGTCACGGCATCAACTCCCTGGCTACAGGGATTTTCGCCGTGGATCCAAAAGTCGTCCGTGAAACTAGAAATCTTGGGTGGCAACCTAAACAACGTAATCTGTAAAAAAATGATTTACAATTTGTCCTATTCTTCACAGGCTCAGAGAACATTAACTCGACGAATTCTATATCGAAACCATAAAAATTTCTAAAAATGAACAATGGCTGGACAAGGTACTGCGCATGAAACGTCACTGAATGCCTAGCTTTGCGCAACAAATAATCTGATGATCACAGAATTAAAACTCACGAGGATTGCGGCTCCATCATAAAGACGTGAATGAACACTGAACAGTGGACAGACATGAAGCGGAGCACAGCCGACTTCCAAGTCAAAGTGAACAATGACGAGCAAGACGTAGCGCGCCGGAGCCTTGCAGCGAATGTGATATCCGCCACCAAGCCGTCCGTATCTAGGCAGTGCGTCGAACCAGGCCTCGGTCGAACGCCCGCGGGTCGAACGCTCCAGCCGAGTGCTAACCCAACCTAACCTAACCTGACTCAGCCAGTCGCACGGCTCTTTCGACCGACGGCCTGGTGGTGCACGGCAGGTTTTATGCGAGGCCGGAGGTGTGCAAATCCAAGTGGTCGCAGGCTGTTGCGCGCAAGTTGCAATTCGAGCGGTGGCCAGGGTATGTAGTGATGCTTCGACGCAACGTTCAGTGGTGGACGGCCATTCGACCCTAGGCTATTCGACCTCGTGTCGGGGGGGTGTGGAGCTCAAAATATTCAAAGCAGAAGGATGTCAATGATCGGTTTCGGATAGCAGATTCCATTCACGGCTGATTGGTGGATGTCCGGAAAGATCCAAGGCGTTCGATTCAGGGCTTATTTGTACAAAATTTGTGGTGCACGGCTGCGTTCCCACGAGCAAGCGCAATAACGCTATGACGTGGAGCGTCTCTAAACTGAAATTTCAAAATTATCGCAGGAGTCAGGACTATCGTTGCATGAAAAGTAAAAAAAAGGCAATGGGATAGTTTTATCCCTATCTAAGCTGTAAATTAATTGAATTTAACGGAAGAGAAATTTCGCGGGCGCGACACAACCCACGACGACTATCCAGTCGTATTATATAGCTACCTGAAATTAATTCAATCCTCAACGGAGAAAGAGTTACAAAAAACAACAAACAAAATGTTAATAAAGAATTAACGATTCATGACTCGATGAGAAAAACCAAATTACAAATGGGACGTTCGAAGCTCTTAATGCGTCGGTTCACGCCTCGTGTCAGAATATCAATGAAGGCTGACCTAACCAGGTCGTCTCGACTGGTCTTGACTGCCGTCACTCTACCGATTGGTCAATCGTTCCTATTGAGACATCTATCTTTTACCAGAACTATTTCGCCTTCCTTGATGTTTCGCCGTGTGGTTTTCCATTTCCTTCGATGACGGAGGTTGTCGATTTGCTCGTCCCGCCAGCGCGTCCAGAACTGGTCCGCGAGGTACTGTACCCGGCGCCACCGAGTTCTACCGTAGACCAACAGGTCGTCCTTGCTAAAGTATTCCAAAGGCGGAGGATTAGGATCTTCACGCAGCGTCAATAACATGGCTGGGGAAATTGGACCAGGATCCTCTGGGTCGCTGGAAACCTCTCACATTGGCGTGTTGTTTACTATATTGGCAGCCTCCTGGAGGAACGTGTCGAACTCGTCTCTGTTGAGGTTGCGCTGTCCGACTTGAAGGAAAACCGCACCGAGCACTCGTCGAATGGAACCTATCTTCCGCTCCCATACACCGCCGAAGTGGCTAGCACCTGGGGGATTGAAGATCCAGCGGCATTCTCTGGCTTCAGCTAACTGGGCGAGGGTGGAGGAGATCGTGTGCTCTTTTTGGTTTTGAGCTCCGACAAAATTGGTGCCTTGGTCGCTCCGAATGGTTCTACTTACACCTCTCCTAGCAAAAAATCGTCTCAATGCATTTTGCAAACTTACAGTATCTATTTTAGTGAGAGATCCTACATGTACTGCGCGTGATATAAGGCACGTAAAGAGCAACATCCATACTTTCTTGGTTGATTTAGATTTTAGTGCGTCTCGTGTGCGCACCTTCGGAAATAAAGAAGGGGCCAAAGACGTAGACTCCCGTGTGAGTGAAGGGGGCGGTTGTTTCCAATCTTTCCCTAGGTAGTTGTGCCATTTTTTGTTCACAAAGCGGTGCTCTGAGACAGGGCACATGAAGCACTGGCTGATGAATCGCCGAATTACGCCTTTGCCTTTCACGAGGTTCGAGGTAATAACCAGCTGCTCTCAAGGCACCATGAGGAACATGACGGCCTTGATGAAGCACTTGTCGATGGAAGTGATCTAATATCATAATGGAGATTGGTTGCGCCACTGGTAATAAGATGGGATATTTTTGTTGGACTGGAGCATTATAGTTTTTCACTCGTCCACCTACTGATTAACCATTCGCGTCGATGAATGGAGA